AAATTTGGGGGGGGGGGGATTTTTTTTCCCTTTTTTTCTTTAAAATTTTCCATTTTAAATTGGTTATTTCTGATTTATATATAAAAGCAAATAATAGTGATATGGTTTGAATAGATAAATTAAAAAATTTTAAGTTCTTAGACCACATTTATTCTGTGTCAGAAACCTATGCTGTGTCAAATATTTAATTACAATCCAAATTCAGTGCTGTATCAAGCTTGAATGTTGTGTCCATACTTGCCCCAACTGTTCAGGGTTCGACCTCTGCGGTCGTATCAAGCTGCGCCCCAGCGGAGCATTTTATTAATTTTGGGTCCAGTTTTCAAATTGGTCTACATTAATGTCCAAAGGGTCCAAAATTAAACTTTGTTTGATTTTAGCAAAAATTGAATATATGAGGTTCTTTGATATGCTGAATCTAAACATGTATTTAGATTTTTGATTTTTGGCCCAGTTTTCAAGTTGGTTCAAATTGGGGTCCAAAATTAAACTTTGTTTGATTTCAACAAAAATTGAATATATGGAGTTCTTTGATATGCTGAATCTAACCATGTATTTAGATTTTTTATTTGTGGACCCCGTTATCTAATTGGTTCATATTGAGGTCAAAAGGGTCCAAAATTAAACTTTGTTTGATTTCATCTAAAATTGAATTATTGGGGTTCTTTGATATTCCAAATCTAACCGTGTATTTAGGTTTTTAATTTTGGGTCCTGTTTTTTAAATTGGTCTACATTGAGGTCCAAAGGGTCCAAATTAAACTTAGTTTGATTTTAACAAAAATTGAATTCTTGGGGTTCTTTGATTTGCTGAATCTAAACATGTGTTTAGATTTTTGATTATGGGCCCAGTTTTCAAGTTGGTCCAAGATAGGGTCCAGTATTTAAACTTTTTTGATTTCAACAAAAATTGAATATATGGGGTTCTTTGATATGCTGAATCTAAACATGTATTTAGATTTTTGATTATGGGCCCAGTTTTCAAGTTGGTCCAAATTGGGGTCCAAAATTAAACTTTGTTTGATTTCAACAAAAATTGAATATATGAGGTTCTTTGATATGCTGAATCTAACCATGTATTTAGATTTTTTATTTGTAGGCCCCGCTATCAAATTGGTTCATATTGGGGTCAAAAGGGTCCAAAATTAAACTTTGTTTGATTTCATCGAAAATTGAATTATTGGGGTTCTTTGATATGCCAAATCTAACCGTGTTTTTAGATTTTTAATTTGGGTCCTGTTTTTTAAATTGGTCTTCATTGAGGTCCAAAGGGTCCAAAATTAAACTTAGTTTGATTTTAACAAAAATCGAATTCTTGGGGTTCTTTGATATGCTGAATATAAGCATATGTTTAGATTTTTGATTATGGGCCCAGTTTTCATGTTGGTCCAAGTTGGGGTCCAAAATTATACTTTTTTTGATTTCAACAAAAATTGAATATATGGGGTTCTTTGTTATGCTGAATCTAACCATGAATTTAGATTTTTTATTTGTGGGCCCCGCTATCAAATTGGTTCATATTGAGGTCAAAAGGGTCCAAAATTAAACTTTGTTTGATTTCATCAAAAATTGAATTATTGGGGTTCTTTGATATTCCAAATCTAACCGTATATTTAGATTTTTAATTTTAAGTCCCGTTTTTTAAATTGGTCTACATTAAGGTCCAAAGGGTCCAAAATTAAACTTAGTTTGATTTTAGCAAAAATTGAATTCTTGGGGTTCTTTGATATGCTGAATCTAAACATGTGTTTAGATTTTTGATTATGGGCCCAGTTTTCAAGTTTGTCCAAGTTGGGGTCCAAAATTAAACTTTGTTTGATTTTAACAAAAATTGAATATATGGGGTTCTTTGATATGCTGAATCTAACCATGTATTTTGATTTTGGACATTGGACCATAATAGGTAAATTAAAAAAATTCAAGTTCTTAGACCACATTCTTTCTGTGTCAGAAACCTATGCTGTGTCAAATATTTAATAACAATCCAAATTCTGAGCTGTATCAAGCTTGAATGTTGTGTCCATACTTGCCCCAACTGTTCAGGGTTCGACCTCTGCGGTCGTATCAAGCTGCGCCCCAGCGAAGCATTTTATTAAAATTGGAGTTATCTTCCTTTGACCATGATTATAGTTGAATCAACTACAATCAATGCTTTATACAATGCAATGTTTAATTTTGACTTCCACTGATAAAACACAGATCAAGTTGAATTTGGGTAGTGTCACTTTAACCATTATTGAGTTATGCCCCTTTATAAATAGAAAGATTGCAAAATTTTTTAGTTTCCATTCTGTAACTGAAGTTTTCCCCAGCCAAACATTATGAAACCTATACACAATATTCATTACCACAAAACGCAGTAAGGATCAAGTACAATTTTTTTGTTTCAGTTCTCTAACTTGAGTTTGCCTCAACCAAATGTTATGAAACTTATACACAATGCTTATTACTACATAATACAGATTAAGTACGAAATTAGGTGGCAACACTTTTACCATTCTAGGGTTATGTCCCTTTATAAACATAAAAATTGCTGAATTTTTTAGTTTGTCTCAACCAAATGTTGTAAAACTTATACACAACCGTTCTAGAGTTATGCGTGTTTACAAATAGAAAAATTGCTGAATTTTTAGTTTCTGTTCTCTACTTAAGTTAGCCTCAACCAAATGTTATGAGACTTACACACAATGCTTATTACCACAAAACTCAGATCAAGTTCAAATTTGGGTAGCGTTACTTTTACCGTTCTTCAGTTATGTCCCTTTATAACTATATGATATGCAAGCGGGGGCATCATCTGTGTCCACATGTGGACACTATCCACATTTATTTTTTTTTAATTTTAAAAATTTCGAATTTTTGTAAAGTTTCAAGAAGAAATCTTCAATTGCACAGTATTGGGCAATGGATTTATAAGATCTTTGACCACATTTATTTTGTGTCAGAAACCTATATTATGTCAAAAATTTGATCACAATCCAAATTCGGACAGTATCAAGCTTGAATATTGTATATAGATATAGGAAGATGTGGTATGAGTGCCAATGAGACAACTCTCCATCCAAGTTACAATATATAAAAGTAAAAAAAGTGTCCAAATTTGCCCAAACTGTTCAGGGTTTGACCTCTGCGGTCGTATCAGGCTGCGCTCAGCGAAGCATTTTATTAACAGTTGATTTACACTCGTCAGCATAAAAACTCAAGAAAACTTAATACTTTTTTTTCACAAGGGTTGTTTAGCTATAAAAAAAATGTAGGCGACCTGAAATTATTTCCTGGCCACTGAAATTTTGAGTTGGCCACTAAATTTTCATGTCTGGTGGCCAATTGGCAACCTCATTTCAGAAGCTACTTTGAGGGCTGAACTTTATATGATATGCAAGCAGGGGCATCATCTGTGTCCCATGGACACATTCCCCATTTACTTTATCATGACTTTTATGGAAATAAATTGGTTGATTGCTCAGACAAAAAAAAGTCTGTCTTTTTTTTTTAACTAACAGAACAGTGTTCTTTTCATGCAACTAATGCACCACTGACCCGCAGTCCTATGATTTTGGAGCACTGTCCTACATTTCTGGCCTCGGTGATATAATTTTCAGTCAAAAAATGGTATATTGTAAAATTTTATCTGATGTGATTCTTATCTGTTGTATGAAATACCTGGTGAAATTTACCAGCACATTGATTGTTTACAGCATCTGATCTATTTACCTGATGAGGTTAACCTGTTGTTGATAATGTTGATTGGATTTAATCATTTAATTAACTTGTAAATGAATTCTTTTGTGTTTTAATTGATTTTAAAATCATTTATGACTTCAGATTACAATTGTATGGCTTCATTCATCACCCAAGCGCTGATCTTTGACAAGTCGGCAAATACTGTGTACACAAACAGTGCTGATAGTTGTAAAACTCCGGATCCTTCATTCTCTTTTACAACAATAAGACCTATGTTTCTTGATTGGCAGTTTTCTTCCAGTTAGGCAGTCAATTTAATGAGTCTGATAAATCAGCCACAATTAATTTGGACCCTAAATAGGTTTCTATTGACAGTCACACACATCCTTGGTATAGTGCTGTCAAATAAAGTTCTGTCATCCCACCCTACAGTGCCCTAAGATATGTGTATTTTAAACGGTAAAAAAAGTTAATTATAAAAATTCATGAAGAGTTAATCCCCTTGTTTTGGCATATTTTAAAATTTTAGTAATAAAAAATTATGGGTATGGATTTCATTCAGGACTTTCATATCATGGTCCTTGCTTGATTAGAAAATTGCACTTTATGTCATTTCTGTGCAATAACTTGAGAACTTTTCATCTGATACTTTTCAAATTTGTATATATTATTATTGATCACAGAATGCAGGTCAAGTTCAATTTTGATAAATTTTGTGTTGCCTTGATGATGTCAAAAAGCAGGATTTAGGTACATGTATACTGTTTCCGAGTGATGGTGGTGGCGGTAATCAATGGTATTGGTTATGCAGTTGTACTAGCATTGGCATATCTTATTTCCAGGAAAATTATTTGGCCCTGTACCTTCAGTTATGGTCCTTCCCTGAAAAGACAATGGCACCCTACATGTACATGTCATTTCACTTTCCAAAACAGGTTTGCTGTCAATTTTACAGCTCAATTCTGGTTTCGTGTTTCAGTATAAATGGTTGCATTCAAATAACAATTTCTTCTTTTTGTTTAAGACTTTCATCTTTTTCTTCAGATAAAAATATTTCATGTAGCATGGCTCTTTATATTGGAAAATGGGTCATTAGCTTCAATTATTAAGTTAGAAAATTTTGGTAGCTTACATGAATTGACTCGAAGAAATTGGCATTGGCTACATTTTGAATCACGTCAAATATTTGTTCATGACATTTATTGACCCAGTAGTCAGGCAATAGATGGTTATACATGTTTATTTGTCATTTTTATTGTCATGACTGTAATCAATGTTAAGAAGGTTTTTTTGTATCAAGCTGTTAAATTTTTTCAGGTTATAAATAAAGAAGAAGATGAAAATTGGTACAAGGCAGAACTTAATGGTAAAAGTGGATTTGTACCATCAAATTATATTACAATGAAACCAAATCCGTAAGTATTTTTATCAACTTATAGTATAGTTTTTATATTTTTTGAAAACATATGTCCTCTATCATGTCTATTGTCACATAGACCGCCTTGGTGATAGCGTGTTCGCCATGAGTGCAGGAGGTTGTGGGTTTAATCCCTAGCCGGATCAAACCAAAGGCTTTAAAATTGGTATTTGCTGCTTCTAGTAGGGTGCCCAGTCAACAAATTTGATCGATTTGGGTTAACGGAATAACACAAGGCTATATTTTATATCATTGGAAAGAGGAGAACAAGCCTCGTCGAAATATTGATGTCGTCGTTGTCTACAGTGGTCACGATTTTCTTAAATTTGGGTCAAAGGCCAAATCTAAAATTTCAAGGAAAACGTAGAGTCACGTTTAGACAGCTGGCCACCCCTGCATATTTGCGTTTATAGCAAAATAAATTAGAATAATTCAAAGGATTATATATAAGTTTCTATATTTAGGACTAATTTGATAATTTTATTGCCAAATATGGTTTGAGATTGAAATTTGTACTTATAGGGTGCACATTTACAATTTTCATTCAGCTGTTAAATAACAGTGACCTTGACCTTTTAAAAGTTCAAAAATCGGAATTTTTACATAAGATTCAATACAAGTGATCTTTAGAGATGTTTTTTAGATATCAACATTTATAAGTTGCCCTCCCAAAATGTTATTTTTTTCCGTCTTTTGATAGATAGTGTTCGTCATGATTTTCTGGGTAAATATCCAATTTTCTTTTGGTGAACGTGGAATCACATCAAATAGTACTTAGTTCCAAAGCTGATGAATATTAACGCCAAATTGATTGAATTAGTAGGTCTGAGTATATATTTGCTTTAGAGAAATAAAAAAAAACTGCAAACGGTGAAAAAGGGGAGGGTTTATGTTACAAGTTATGAAAACAAAATGAGAATTAGAAACAACAGGCTAATCACTCCATCTTACACACTTACATGTATATCAAATGTAATGTACATGACTTATCGAACATAAATTGGCCTACAATTGACATGAAGTTAAAGATTATCTACAAAAGAAAGTTTTGTACAGCATCGATGTATTTTACAAACTCTTGTAAACAACATCAATCTAATTAAAATATAGATCTCTGATTTCGTTATCTTCATTTGAGCTTATATATAAGAGCACGCGAGTTAATAAAAACCAGAATTTTAATAAGAGCGAAACAAAATAGAAAAATTACCGAGGCGAGTAGTTTCATTGTCTACTGTTAAGTTGAAAGCCCATCGAATAGGTTAAGGTAAGAGAGCTAAACATGCTAAATTTCAGTTGTTCTTTTTTAAATCGCCTTCGACGCAAGTAGCAGAATGCGAGGCATACAGAATACAATCTGATGGTGGTGGCGGCAACACCGTAAACTATTAATATAGCTTTATATTTCAGAGGGCAGAGGAACTGGATGATTCATACTTTGTATATAGATCCATTGTGTTACGAAGTTTCCGTCATATAATCATTATCCTTGACCTCATATTCATGGTTAAGTGACTGCTAAAAAACTGTATAGCTTTTTTCGTCATGTGAATGTCTCAAATATCACGAGTTCTAGGATAACTATATTTGGTTACTAATATATGGTATCCTTGCAAGGTCTACATGACCGTCAGACATGATTCATCTGACCTCGACACAATTTCACGGATCAGTGAATAATGTTAATTTTCAGTGATCAAGTCCGTACAGTCTCAGATAGTAGTGGGTTAAATATATTTGGCGTATGGAATGGTAACAAGGTGTACGTGATTTTGTGGCAGAGTTCATCTGACCTTACCTCATTTACATGGAACATTGATAGTGTTAATTTTATGTAATACTTGCTGTATAATATAAAAATTAGGAGATGTGGAAGCAAGCAATTATAGGCAACCGTACAGCCTTCATCAATGTGAAAAACTCATACCGTATGGTCGGCTATAAAAAGGCCAGTTATGAAAAAAATGAAAGAATTCATTTGAAAAAAAAAAACCAATGGCCTGATTTATAACAAAAGCTAGTTTTTACGGTAATGATGTTTATGATCATACTTTTCTCAGACTATTGATGACGTCCTTTTATTAGTTTTCAGTAAGGGAACACCCATTTGATTTCGAAAACAGGGAGGGAATGAGGATTTTGAAAATGAATTACTTGGCCTGGTATGAACTGAAATAATTGACTTTGCACAAGACAGGATGAGAATGAACACTCTTCAACATGAAATGCAGGATAGTTGAGTATATGAATGTGTACAAAAGTGAAAATAAATTTTCGCGCCGCCAGCCCCAACCTTTTCTTCAGAATATAAAATGTTCTACCCTAATGGCGAGTACTTTTATATCGGTTCTTTGTGTTTTTTGTCTTCATGTTAGTCGTTTTTGTGCTTCATGCCAATTTGATAAGTCAAGCCATTTCAAACTGTTTTTCATCAGATTTTTCTTATACTGTGTTGTTATACCATTGTCCAGGTCAGGTGAGGGTTGAAGGATCACAAACATGTTTAACCCCTCTAAATTCTGTATATGTCTGTCCAAAATCAGGAGCCTGCAATTAAGTGGTTGTCGTTGATTGCTGTCTGTTGTATCCGTTTTTTGTTGTTGTTGCACAAACGGTGGTATATTTTTTGTTGTCGTTCCCACCTAGTGGGATTTAGGTCGAAAACATCATACAAGACTTTTGATGTGCCATATTCCGGGTGTGAAACAAAACCGACCGATTTGATTCTTATACTACAATTATAACAAAATATTTATTTAATAAAAAGTTTAAAGTTTTGAAAAACAGACACAAAACAGATTTCTCCAAACAAAGTGACAATCTATAAAGTTAGCTGGCTATTCACAAAAAATAAATCAACCACACAACAAGCAAAAAAGACAAATGTTTTGAGTGACCTCTGTCCTTGTTAATGACCTAATAGTGTAAGCAACAAAATGATTAAAGGCACGAGATAATCCGTGTTTAATCAATACCAAAATGTTGACTTAATTTGTGTTTTTAATTGCTAATTTCTTCAAAACGATTTTTATTTCACGCATGCACTGTGTCTTATTGCTGAAATCAGAGTAAAAAATATTGTGATGATACACGTAATAATTTTGCTTTCGATGAAAATAGTGTAAATTTCGGGTAAAATTTAACTCTTACTTAAATGCTGAAATACTTATATCAAAATCACTTAAATACTTTCCGGTTTCGTTATATGATATATTTGATATATAAACTATATTATAGGTACTGTTTTAAATACCAACAAAGAATGACATAATTTTATTTTTCATGTTAAAGATTCCCCGTACAATACGGTATCTGGTGGTACCCTGTAAAAACACGAAATTTAGAAAATCGTGACCACGGGAACTTACGACGACAATCATGATTGTAAAATATAATGATTTTCCTATAATGTGCAAAAAAATCAGCCGTGTGTTATCCGTTAACTTAAACTCGTTAACTAGAGGACTTTTTGGACATTGGGCACCCTACTATTCTCCACTAAGCACAATGTGTTTAGAAGTAAGAGCAAAGACAGATTGTTACCTTGTGAACTAGCAAACAAGTGGGACAAAGCAGGGTTCATATCTTTTACATATCAACTTTATTTCTGCCTTAAATATCAGAATATGCATTTAATTTGCCACTGGACATTAAACAACCATCCTTCATCATCTATTTTTATACGCCCGTTTGCGGGACGTATTATGGTATACCGTTGTCCGTCCGTAGTCAACTTGTCGGACAATAACTTAAAAAGCTTTAACCAATTTGCATGAAACTTTGGTGAATTGTTTATATCTATTGACGTGAGCTCCCTTTAATTTTATAAATTTTTTACGTTTCCGAGTTATGGGAGTGATTTTCCAGTTTTTGGAAAATATCTTTAAAGTGCTTTGAGCAGTTTTCATGAAACTTTGGTGACTGGTTTATACCTATTAAGATAACCTCCCTTTATTTTTTTCATAAATGTCTGAGATGACATTGAGAAGTTATTGAACTTTATTCTTTGAAAAAGTAACGGACGTATCATGCACTCATGGCACAGCTGTTTATTACATGTGCTGGTGTATACCTATACATTTTGTGCATGTATTACAACACGAAGCTTAGGCCAGAGATTATCATTCAGAAAGTAATGAAATGTTCCCTGCAGTCTTTAAGTACATACATGTATATGTAATTAAGTACACTTTTTATTTATCAGATTGCAAAGATAATAAACATGAAAGGAAAAAAGGTCAATTTATTTTGAAATTTTTAATATTACTTACGTATTATATATATTTTTTCAAGATTTTAGTTTTGTTTAGTTTTCCCCTTAAAGAGTTGAAATAAGTAAAAGAAAAATTATTCTTCAATATTGTCTTAGGAAACCACTATAATTGTCTCTCCTACAAAGATGGTTGCGAAAAAAGCTAAAGAAAACTAACTATGTGTGCTTTACTTGGCATTGTTAACAATTGTTAGATTGGAATTAGTTTACTCAGATTATACATTGTAAGACATAATTCTGTGTAAACAGTTTATGAAAATGTTACCAGTGGTATTATGTTATTGCTGAATAGGTGAGTTTATGTTCAAGACTTCTCAATAAAATATACATGTACATGTGTACATGTACAACAATTATAAAACAGTAAGAGAATGACAAAAGCACATGCAGTCAACAGCCACAACACAAGTTTCTCCTGAAGGCGCTGTATTTTTTTTTGGATTTGAAGTTCAGATGTGTTGGCTATCACAATTTGAACACTTTTAAGCTGACACAATGATCAAATTTCCAATTATGGTGATTATAGACGATAATTGTGAGTGAATTATAAGAATCTATAATATATAACTATTGACATGATAAACATCCTGGCATGCAACAGATGTCAAAACTGTATAATTTTATTTACTGAGAGATTGATAATGAAAAGGTAATTTTTATGCCCCCGCCGTAGCGGAGGGGGCATTAAGTTTTACCCTTGTCCTTCTGTCCGTCTGTACGTCCCAAATTGATTTCTGTTTTCTAACTTTATTGCCTCAACCAAATGTTATGAAACTTATACACAATGGTTATTACCACAAAACACAGATCAAGTTTGAGTTTGGGTAGTGTCACTTTTACCTTTCTAGAGTTTATGCCCCTTTACAAATGGAAAAATTACTGAATTTTTCGTTTCCGTTCTCTAGCTTAAGTTTGTCTCAACCAAATGTTATGAATCTTATACACAATGTTTATTACCACAAAACACAGATCAAGTTTGAATATTGGTAGAGTCACTTTTACTGTTCTTGAGTTATGTCCCTTTATAACGTTATATGCTAGCAGGGGCATCACCTGTGTCCCATGGACACATTTCCCTTGTATTTAAGCCTTAAAGGTTATTTTCAATCACTACACAAGGTCATTTTGAATTGGGTTTTAAGGGCAGAAGGGTACAGCTAACAATCAAGGGCTGGTGGTCCATTTTAATTGGGCTTACAAGACCAATATCATGAATATACCTGTGCAGGTTATTAAATACATGCAACAATTTTCCATTTTGTTTATGGATTGATACATTTTCATAGTATTGGAATGCTTTGTTTTAAGATAAAAAAAAAATATGCATAAAATATTAAAGATGATTTTAACTTTATAGATGGTATGTTCCAAAGATATCAAGAGAGGAATCAGAGAAAAGATTACTTGTAAAAAGTGGTGCCAATTATATACAGCCTGACGGTGCTTTCCTAGTACGGCCGAGTGAAACATCACCAGGAGACTTTTCTATATCTGTCAAGTACTGTATCTGATGTATTAGATGAATAATTTTACTCAAAGGGGGATAAGTTGTCCTCCTACCTTTTAACGATACTTAATTTGTATAACTTTAATAATTTCAGGATTTAAAATGATGAATGAGTTCGGATCTGGATGGGGTTTACAGAATAGAGAATAAAGTGCAAAAATAAAATGAAATAGAGAATAATGGGCTAAATAGATAAAGAATAGAGAAAATGGTCTAGAAAATTAAGAAATGAAGGAGCCCCATCCAGACCGTCATGAGTCCCAATTTAACATTGAGTAACTTATTATCATTATTAAATATTCTTTTTACTTATTTATTTGTGGTGTCATACACATTTAAGACATTTAAATTTTTGTGTGTAGTGTATCCTTTTACATACTGATCCAATGTCTTCATAAAAGTGATTATTAGTCCCCTACCGACGAAGTTGAAGGGGACTTTAGGTTTGCACTCTGTCCGTCTGTCTGTCTGTCTATCTGTCAGTCCGGCAAGTCAGTGTTCCAGACTTTTTTTCTTCGCGCTTGAAGATATTGATTTGATATTTGGTTTATTGTTTTATCATGACAAGTTACAGGTCAAGTTCAATTTTCAAGATTTTAGCCTTTTTCTTTGTTAAGTAAAAGCTCTTTCCCTATAATTTAATTTTTGATGAAATACTTATTAATTAGTAGATTTCTGTTCAAAGGGAAATAACTAATTTTTTTTTTTTTAATTTTAAAAGACAAAATGACATTTTGGATTTTTTTTCCTTGTCTTTGGTAAATTGTTTGAAGAATTTAGTGGAAGTTTGTTTGTCATTCTTGAAGATATTGATTTGATAATTAGTATATAGTTTTATCATGACAAGTTACAGATCAAGTTGGAATTTTGTTCCGGTCTGATGATTTTGTGCAGAGTTATGATTTTTGGAACATTCACTTAAATAATCAGTTTTCAACAGTTTTTTTCGCCATGCTTGAAGATTTTGACTTGATATTTTTATGTAGTTTACACCATGACAAGTTATAGATCAAGTTAGAATTTCGTTCCATTACAATGAATTTTTAACCGGTAGGGGACTATGTATTGCCATGCAATACTCACAGAATGCTTGTTTTATTTAATCTAGATGTTATATACATTGAAAATATACCAGAAATATGCCATCAATTTTTTATTCACAATTGCTAAAAAATCAATCTATACCCTAAAACAAAATTACCACCTTACAACACTAAAAAAACTGAGTCAAGACTTGAAGTAATTTGAGAGAATAATTATACAGCTGAAATAAGATTTGTATTGTAAAGGACTATCATAGAGGAAATTCTGTGGCTAATTCTGATCAAATTACATATATATAGTTCTGTTTTCACTTTGCAGATTTGGCGACAGTGTGCAACATTATAAAATTTTAAGAGACAGAGAGGGTAAATTCTTCCTGTGGGTTGTCAAATTTAATTCAATAAATGAGCTTATAGAATATCACAGACAAGCATCAGTTAGTCGGACACAGACAGTTGTTTTGAAAGATATGATACATGAACAGGTATGTATTAGAGAAAAGTTTGTCTTTGTTATTATTAGAGATGACATGTGAAGTTAAGCTTTATATACCGGTACATGTAGTATTAGAATATACCACAAAAAGTCCTTCACATCCACAAAGTTGGTATCCATGAAATTAAATGAATCTTCAGTAGGAAACCTACTTCATATAAGTGTTTGAGAAATTTATTTTCTTTTCTGTCGCACAAATGTCCGTCAACAGAAAGGTTTTTACCTTGACATTTTTGACTGTTTCAGCTGTGTATATATATCCATATTCTGCATATAGGTACTGTATGGGTTTGATTTCAAATGTAGCATATGTCTGTTGCCCTAAAAATGAATTTATTGAAATTGGGGTTAAAACAACCATGAGACAGCAACCCAATAACACAAACAACAGAAAGACATTTGAGGTAAAATCATACAATCTTCAACAATAGACAGCTGTCAATACTATATATCAAACTACAAATTGCCAATGTCTAAAACAAACTGGTGAAGGAATTTTTCAAAGACCATAAAAAAAACTGCTATCAACCCTAACTTCTTTAACTCATATACATGGTTTATAAATCAATATTTAAATTTCAAGATTACATTTTCTTTTATTTTACGATATGAAAAGATAAAATGTTAACTACATTTTGGATTATAGAATCATTGTTTAGTGTACATGCCCAGTTGACTGGTTAATTTTATAACATGACCTTGATCTTTTTTTCATGGTTCATTGATCATCATGAAGTTTTCATGATGAGTTTTGTTTCACTGTTACTAAATTATTAATTAATGTAACATAGAAACTGATGTAATAATGAACCAATACTTGACCTAACACTTGTAGTGTTTCCTGTATTTTCAGGGCTCATTGATAACCTTTTAGTTGATATGTTTTGGTCAGATTTCCAGTTACTATAATAATATGTCAACTATATTTGGTCTGTAGAATCAATTAAAGTTATACCTGTAAATTTGAAATGGGTCACCAGATCTTGGTCTCATGGTTCATTAATCAACATAAATAATAGGTTAGCTACATTTGATTTGTAAAACAGATGTAAGGTCATCATGCCTGTTTGAATAGTGTAGTTTAGATCTGACAGAGTCAGTTTCATGGTACACTATGTTTGTTAAGTCTTTTCTTAAAACCGAAGGTCAGTGGTTCTTTCTGGGCATTCCGGCTTCCTCCACCAATAAAAACTAACTGCCACGAAATAGCACAATAGTACTGAAAGTGGTATCAAACATCAATCAATCAATCTTTTTTTTAAAAAACAATAAGTAATTTGTGAATTAAATGTGGTCTAAAATAATTGTAAAGTGTGCACATCCATCTGGCAGGGGTCACCCACCCTTTACTTCATTTAAGGATGTGTTGATTGAATGTCAAAATTTCCTGATATAAATAGTTTGCCATTGGTTCATTCAATATTTTCTGTAATCCAAATCATGATATGCATTTTCTATAAATAGAAAAGTGTAAGAACCATTATGAATTAAAATCCAGGTATTACCATATCATAGTAATTTGCATATCAATTTTACTTCCTGATTTTAAAAAGCTTCCTAGTTGACATATGATTTAAAATCCAATTTAAAGAGCTACATAAATGAACAATACATTGATCGAAATCAGTTTGTTTTAATAATAAATGGTACTTCAAAAGGAAGTTATATAATTTGACGGGTTATTAAGTTTTTTACAGGTTGTGATAAAAATATTTTATCTGTAACCTTTAACATTCCAGGAGTTTGAATGGCTTTGATGATCAGAATGATTTTTTTATCTATTGCAGCAAGCAAGAATAGCAAGAGCATTATATGATTTTGAACCAGGAAATGCTGATGAAATTCGATTTAAAAAAGGTGATAATATAGAAGTAATTGGAGAGGAAGATTGTAATTGGTGGAAAGGACGAGTAAATGGACAAGAAGGAATATTCCCTGCAGCTTATGTCAAAATTGCATAGTTTTAATAAATAGAATTGATAATTTTTTATTAAAAACTTGAATGTTTGAATGGAAGGTACAAATAAAAGTTAACAGGTATTATGAGTTTGGGTGGGTACTAACATTCTATGTTCTTTGTCAGTATTTAAAGTATTTGTACTCCTTGTGGAACAGGTAAGAATTTCATACCTTCCTTCTGTTTCTTAAACTTGTACAATTTTTATACCTGCTGATAGTGTATTTTTTATCCAGTAATGACAAAGATGTTAATATTTATCATATACTTAAAATAGCAAACATAGATCTGCATTTGAAGTAAAAAAATATATTTGCAATGAACATCTTCTTTAACATTCTGTTAGTAACTTGCACTGGATATTATTAATAAAAAATAACTGGTTATCTTCTTTTTGTCCGAACAATAGGCAGGAAAAGAAAATTCCAGTCTAATGTTAATATAACAAATGATTTTAACATGTTTAAGTCTTTTTATAGATAAATTTATATTATATATTGTTTTACAAAACACCAGTTTGACCAGTGAATATTGAAACAAGATGATGAGGGTAACTCTGAAGCAGGATATCAGGGGACTAACCATATACTTAAGAAAATTAATTTGTTAACATGCATTATGTATTACCAGTAATGTAGAAGGATGTAGTCTTGTTTAAAATATCACAAGTCACAGTTATTTTGAAGCATGACTGAATCTTAGTATGATATGAGACTGTGAACAGGAGTTTATATTTTTATTTTTAACATTCAATTAATCCATCAGAATTTAAAATCATGGTAACTATTTGTTTGAAACAGAAAAATCTGTGGGCAAAGTGTCTTGCAAATATCAGAAAGAAGAACCATACATATGTTCAATCAAGATATAAAATTTTGGTCTAGAAAGGCTAGATTTTTACGGTACTTTATAATGTCCACTAAAAATCTAGAGATGTTCAGAATGACTGTGACTTTAATATGACAACCTGTGACAAGACGGGTAAAGAGAGTAAAAAAGTTGCACGTAAGATTGCACATGTGCCAATAGTTCTTTCAGCTTGTGTGAAAACTGTTTATCTTTTGTACAGAGATGTCACAATCATTGTTGTCACATTCTGAATGGAATGCTTGACATTTTTAATCATTGTTTTATGTGATTACATCAATAAGTTGAAGGTTATCTGTCTTGGGAACAACAGTTTAGTACTGCTATTTTGTTTTGTATAATATTCAAGTTTTGGAAATGAATGGCTTTACATTCTTTTATAGTATTACAGATAGTTTGATTTTATTCCTTAAACTTTTATTCCCATTTAACAAATTTTGATGCTTATGTTGAATTAATGTACACTTTTCACTTTTATAAGGAAAAAGACCACGAGTGCTGTGACTTGTGACAATCCCTAATCTCACTAAAATTGTTTTGTATAGATGATTGAGACTTTTATTTACTAAAAGTTAAAAGCCTGATATTTTCTACAGAAAATCTGTTATAACCAATGTCAATTTCTGAATATAGTTTGAACTTTGAACAGATAATTTTAGCTATATTTTGTACTTTAAATATGATACTAAAAAATACTGGCATGAAAAGCACAGGTTTTTCAGGTTTTGTGTTAAACAGTTTTCATTTATAAGTATTAAGGTAAAGTAGAAATAGCTTGAACTTGACCTCAATGTGACACCTGGGGTCCTTGCAACTTGCTTAGACGAGTCGTGACACTTCTGTTTCATATTGACATCAAAATTTGTAAGTTCTGATCTTTGAAATGGATGACTCTTCAAAAATTAAGATATGGGCTTGGGGACTTACTAAATCAAAAAACTTCAAGCAACTGTGTATGGAATAAGCACTCAGACCATTGTATGATTAGAACTATTTTCTCTAGAAAACAAAACCTTCAAGCAACCCTGATTATTCATGTATATGGAATAAGCTCTAAGACCATTGTATTAGTAAAAATGTTTTCTGCTAGAGAAAAAACCTTCGAGCAAGCCTGATTGTTCATGTAAATGGAATAAGTGCTCAGGCCATTGTATAAGTAGAACATTTCTACTAGAGAAAGAATTTTTGTGAAATTAATCATATTTCATTACACATCTTCACTATTTTTTCCATTTGCAACAAGATCAGTACTATAACCTATGTTTTTATACCACTTGCTTTAGAATATGTGATTGTTTTTAGAGATGGTTTATTATTTGTATATAATTTGTATATATATAAGAGAAATACACAGGTGAATGTCTCATTTGTTTGTTGTTACGAGACCAGGGAAGTGAAAAATACATGTATATATAAGGCTATAGTGTCTGACCCATTCCTGTTAAATATCAGCAAGTGCTGTACATGTTGATAGATTTGTCAACAAAATGTTTATGTATTGTATATGTATCTATACTAACTGGTACAAAAGATTTTTTCAAAATACAACAAAGTTACCACATGATTATTTTTCACAAGTAGGATGAAACTTGAAAGTTATGTTGATCTCAAATTCTAATTATTAAAAATAACCTTTTTTCAGTTCGTTTAACATGGTCTTACGATGTTATTATGTCAGAACTTAACAGTCAGTTTTGAGCTGAACCATTTTTATACGACCGCAAAAAATGTCATATATTGGTATCACATTGTCGTCGTCCGAAGACACTTGGTTTCCGGACAATAACTTTAGTATTAGTAAATAGAAATCTATGAAATTTAAACATAAGGTTTATAACCACAAAAGGAAGGTTATGATTGATTTTGGGGGTTATGGTCCCAACAGTTTAGGAATTAGGGGCCAAAAAGGGGCCCAAATAAGCATTTTTCTAGTGTCATGACAATAACATGTGGAACAGTGTATGGATTTCTCTGAAATTATACCACAAGTTTCTATACCAGAAAGGGACGGTAAGGATTGGCTTTGGGGGGTTATGGCTCAAACCGTTTAGGAATTAGGGGCAAAAAAGAGCGAAAAAACAAGGGTGTCCTGGTTAATGGACAATTAAGTACAAACTACAGTGTAAGAGAGGTAATTCAAACACAACTTTGAATTACCTCCCTTACACTGCTTTTAAATTATGTATAAAGAATTTTTATGTGTCTTAAGGTGATTAGCTGTCAATTCATTTTTAGAAGTTACTATTTTAATAATTTTAAAAATGCTGATTAAGGTAAATTAATTTTAGCTATGATTCTATTTTTAGACTTTTATGATGTATTTAAATGGGTTTTTATGGTTGCAAACACCATTGGAAATTTGAATTGAAATTATGACCATGACTGAAGGAAAAAAAAATTTTTTTGGAAAAAGGGGGGGGGGGGGGGGGGGTTAAAAAAAATGGTGGCGGGGGGGGGGGGACAATTTTTTCTCAAGATTTCAGAAATCAAAAAGAAAATCCTTCAAATTTTTTTTTTTTTTTGAAAAAAAGGGGGGGTGTCAATTCACAACAGCATAGTGTATTGCACAAAAGCAAAAAATTGAATATAAATTCAAATCATATAACCAATTCTAAGTTCTTTGACTACAGTTATTCTGTGTCAGAAACCTATTATGTGTCAAATATTGAACTACAATCCAAATTCAGACCTGTATCAAGCGCGAATATTGTGTCCATTTTTGCCCCAAAATTATTATTTATTGAAATGAAATGGTTGACCTAAGCTTCCACTAAAAATTGTTTGACACATGACAAAGTAGGAATTGCTAAAAACAGTATGACTGCTCATGAACAATTTTTTTTTTAAGTACTTATTCAGGAGAATTAGGAATTTTTGGATCAATATTATTAAGTTTATAATTAAACAACAGCATCTGTGTTTTGTCTGTAAAGCTAAAGATGTAATTTAGATTGTTTTTTTCTCAAAAAATCATTTTTGTATGTGATGAAACTTTTGAGTATCGTTTATGAAAGATTAATCAATCATTGCATAAGATGTTTTTAGAATATAGAGCTTGTGGTTTAATACTGGAAATGTTGCAAATATGACCAAAATGTTGATTTGATAATTTAAATATAAATATATATTTACAAACAATGGGATTTCACGCAGTAAATAACTTGCATTGTCTCCATGTTTCTTTTTTTATTCCTGAAACATATTCACCCTGCTTACACTCCATTTAGTATTTTATGTTATAGCTATGTATATTTTTTCAAATAAAAGGAAGTATATATCACAATCAATGTTTTGTGAGATATTAAAATGAAGTTTTTTGTTTAAATGTGTATTTGCTAGAGATTACAAACCAGGCTCCGGTTATTTATCTGATTTAATGCCTCCATCGTGTTCGTGCTCCTTCGTGTTCAATGGTCATGGATAAAAATAATCCTTTTAAAAGCTATACAAATGTATTTGTCATATTTTTCTAATGAAATTTATTTTATATGAATAATGATTTGCTGTGCAAGTCAAGCAGAAATATTCTTAATATCAGATTATTTTAATAATTCTTTATGTCAAATATTGTAGGTTTTTTTTTTTTTTTTTTTTGCATAATGACCTCATTTCTTGGAATCTCTGGAGTCGATCATGTGCTGTATCTTGTGTGATTCATCAACAATAAATCATACTAAATATTGTCTGTCTGTATCTTTTATTTACATAAGAGTATGAAATAACTATTCACAAATGCTTATTTTTCTAAAAAGAATATCAGACGTGCTATGTTGAGGTATTTTTATCCACACCATACCTTAATATGATAAAGAATTCTTGAAACTACTCTTCCAATCTTTCCACCAGTGATTTTGATCACTGATTTAATACTACCAACTACTGAGTAACCTTTAATCATCACTTGGTGTAATAATTATTCCCCTGCTTTAAAAAAAGTTGGGGTATACTGTTTTATTATACCCCCGCTTTAAAAAAAGTGGGGTATACTGTTTTACCTCTGTCTGTCCGTCCATCCATCAGTCCGTCTGTCCGTCCCATGAATATTTTTCGTCGCATCTTTCTCAGAAACTACATTACAAGGATTTCTGAAAGTTGGTTTCAGGGTCACTTGTTATTATACCCCCGCTTTAA